AAGAAAGAAAGAAAGAAAGAAAGGAAGCGTTAGCAGCAACAGGGAGTGTGAAGCTGGTCGTAAAGAGCAAACAAGTGTCAAAATGAGACTGACAAGAATAAAAAAGGATAGGAACTCCCAAGCTTCGGATAAAGTCGGCTACAAAACACACACACACACACACACACACACACACACACACACACACACACACACGCAATGACAACTGTTGTGCTGTTGTCCATCAACAAACTGTCTTCCCACTTATCAGTTTGGCTTTGAAATGGAAGAGGGCGTGGGATTGGAATGGAGATCCATTTTAGCAAGCACGAACAGGGCTCTGGGCTCAAGTTTTAAACATATATCTATTTATTGTATTTAAATATCTCATGTTATTAAAACGGTGACACGGTGGTCAACTGGTTAGCACGTCGGCCAACTGGTTAGCACGTCGACCTCGCGGTTTAGAGGTGTAGGGTGCGATTCGGGCTCCGGCCTTCCTGTGTGGAGGTTGCATGTTCTCCCCCCGTGCCTGTGTGGGTTTTCTCCGGGTATTCTAGTTTCAGTCCCACTTTCCAAAAACATAATTGGCAGGTTAATGGGACACTCTAAATTGTCCCTAAGTGTGACTCTTTGTGCGAATGGTTGTTCGTCTATGTGTGCCCTGCAATTGACTGGCTACTAGTTCAGGGTGTCCCCCGCCGACTGCTTAATGACGGCTAGGAAAGGCTCCAGCGTGCCCCGCGACCCTTGTGAGGATAAGCGTATTAGAAAATGGATGGATGGATGTTATAACAACAGTTGTCATAGATCTTAAGATAAAATACAGTGGACTTTGGGTAGTCACGGGTACTGGGTCCCACTTTGGCCCGCAAACAGCAAAAAAACTGCGTATTATTGACGGCCAGTGAAATGCATTGGGGGAAGAAAAAAAACACATTGCAAAAACCTCTAATATGCAATTTCAACCAAAATTGAGATTGGTTGCCCCCCACCACTCAAAAAACACAACTATGAAAAAATTGCTGAAAAAAAAATTACTGAGAAAAAAAAATCTGATGAACCACCAGGGTCCACGGTACATTTTGATGTGAGAGCTCAATAATAAGGTTGCTTTGATCACATTAAGACCGTCTGAGTCTAGCTACTTGTTAATGGTAAAGCGGTGTGTGTGTGCATGCATGTGTGTGCGTTGGGTTTGTGTATTACCCAATATGAGCTTCTGCTTCTGTTTACTTTACTATCATCTCCTGCCACACTCTCCTCTGCTCTCAGACAATTTGTTCAATACATAAATACTACAATTACACTGACCTGAGAGAGGAAATGAAGACACAGAGCGGTGAATTATATAATGATTGTTTCACAGCGCATGACATTCAACAGCACAAATAAATTCACAGGCCAGGCAATGCATTTCTACAAGTGCAAAAACTATCGTCCATACGTGTATCATTTTAAAATGTTTCTCCTGGAGATCCAGATTCCCATTCTTTGCCAGTGCCATTGGTGAATTCCAGATGAAACAAACTGACTGAGAATGATTAAAAAAATAAAGATATACCTCAACAATTACCCATAACTATGTTCTTCAGAAAACGACACCCGCACCACAGCCTTCAGTAGAAAAGCGAAGTCAGGACAAAGAGGCAAAGTCACAACGTGTCTAACCTCGCATTGACTATTAAAATTATTATTTTACAGTATTTCTAAAACTATCATAGTTATTTGCAAGAAAGGATTTTGATTTTTTTAAATTGCATAGTACAGTACTGTATTGTATAATAACTGTTAAAAAAAAATAAAGCTGACCACTTCATGGAACTGGCCAATCATGAGTTCTTTTTGGAACGTAACCCCCGTGATAAAAAAAAAAAAAAAGGGTTCACTGTACAGGAAAGGAAAAAAATAACCATCGTAGCAATAATAACTCGTAAAAAAAGCCTGCACATATTCTTCAATAATTTGAGATTTGCAGGACTGTAGCCAACCTCCCAGGATGGGGCAAAGGAAGGAAAAGTGATGACAAATTGAAGAGGCGAATGATGCGAATGATGACTGAAGCTGCAAAGAAATTAAAAAGTGAACTTCAAGGTCAGTGTTAGATTGCAACATCCGTCACTGTTTCAGGCTAAGTGGACTTAATGGGAGACGACAAATGAAGGACACCACTGTTGAAAATAAATCAGACAAAATTGCCAAACAGCAAGTGAACAAATCGCAAAGCTTCTGGGAGAATGTCCTCTGGACAGACGAGACAAAACTGGAACTTTTTAGCAAGGCACATCAGCTCGATGTCCACAGATCCAAGATTGAGCGGTTTCTCCAGAACGATGTGGAGGAGGAAGCTGTTGTGCGTGTTATGTCGTCAAAAACAAAGCAATACAAGAAACCTGTTGGATCATTTGAACAACTAGCTCCCAAGTGATCAAAGTGGAAAGCGTGAAAATGCAAGTAGAGGTTGCACAGCCTGCCCATGTAACCCTGAGCAGTTTAGTTGCTAATAACTGGGCAGCAGCCGCCGGATGAAAGCAGCAATCAATCGTGTTATCTTTTCATCAGTCAAATTTGCAAGGAGCAACGATGCCAATGCCGTATGTTTAAAATTATTATGTTTACATGAAAAGGCATATCTGTTATTCCTGATTGGTCCATTTATTAGTTATTAGTTTTACATATTCTATATTCGTTATACTGTTGAATAAAAAATTTGAAATGAATGAAAAAATGCATGTTTAAAATATGTTCTATTAATATATTAATTATCTTTGTTGTCACGACCATTGCTTTAAAACTGGCAATTTAAAAGCAATGAAAAATATGGTTCCCGGTCCACAAACCGCATGTACTTGTCCCAACTGGTCCGTGACGCAAAAAAGATTGCTGCCTTAATTACTAACATTACTAAATATATTACCATATCACAAATTATTATTTTTAGCATTATTATCATGATTCTTGCTATTATTTTGAAAATCTGAGGTGCAGGTTGTGAATCAGCAAAAATAAATAAATAAATAAATAAATAAATAAATAATCTAGAAAAGTTGACCGACAGCTCTGATTTTAAAATGTAGTAAAACATTTTTGGCCAATGTTAGTTTTCCTAAATTGAAGCTAATGGCTATAAATGCCCCCTTCTAGTTAAAGCACAAATAAAATGTCTCTTCCTTCATGGAGAACTAAAGAAATCAGAACGCAATCACCAGTGATGCGCTGAATTATTAATATAGATAATTCCTCTGATACTAGAGCTTCATGCTCTACAACAGATTTTCAAATCACTGTATCGATGATTTTAATACTTTTAATGCAACGTAATGAATATCGTTAACAGGAACATCGTGAAAGGTAACTCAACAACGGATGGATTGTCTAAATCAGTGGTCTTAAACATGCAGCCCGGAGGCCATTTGCAGCCCACAGGATGATATTTTGCTGCCCCCTACTTGACATCAGAATTTAATGTTGGCGCAGCCCCCACATTTTTTGCCGTGTAATTTCCCTGGGCGTTTTTTGTTGATTTGTTTTAATAACGGATGGGCTACCAGAGCTCAGACTCTTGACAACTTTCATCGAACATGTAATTCTGAAGTGGCACCAAGTGGATGGAAAAGGTATCCCGTCACTCAGCCCTAGTCATGTCTTGTTCGAAACATGCCGTGAAGATTCAGGTTTGCGATGAGAACAGCCGATTTCAAGACAAAACAGGAGAAGGAATGCTTTTTGTTGAGCGCGGGGTCACCAAAATCATGTCGTGAATGCACAGAGAAAGTTGCGATACTCAAGAAATCATCTTACTCAACTAGACATGCTGAGGAGTCTGCAGAGTAGCAGGGAAATTAGATTTTGTTGACCTTCTATCGAACCGTTCATGTTCAGAACTGTTCTTCATAAATTGAGAAGATTGCATAAGTTGTACCCACGGATGTTACACTGCTCAGTAAGTCAGTCACTCGGTCTCAGACATAAACATAGACGGAGTGGCAGACCTATTTCATAAATGGAGCTATTTTAGATACATTTTGTGATGTTTGTGGATAAACAATTAAATTGCGGTGACACAACAAACCTTACTAAACACCTCAGGCTGAACCACATCACACAATACAAGGCTTTCATGATGAGGCAAATTCGTGGATGGAAAAGCAAAACGACCTCGGTGTTCTTAACATGCACTATCAGGTACAGGCGGAGAAATTGTGGAGCTTTAAGCTGTTGCTGTTTTAGTGTTCATATTAAGAAATACACGTATTAACAAATTTAACAAATTAAATAAATGCGTCAAGAAATGGACCAATAATCATCCGGGACAATTATTGGAGCCAATCATCGCACATTTGACAATAAAGTTGTACTTGATACTTGATATTTGGCATTTTCACAAATACCAGTATTGCCCTTTTTGAAAAACCGGAAGACTAATAACACATCAATTTAAAACTGGTTAACCTCATGTACCTATCACGTCTCACCTGTTTAGTGGGTTTGACATTCACAAGCTGAGCCCATGAGCCAGGAACTTCTGATATTCAAGGATTATATGAAGTTGAATTAAATACAAAGCTATAAAAACACAGTGAGCTTACCCTTAAATTCAACAAAAAACGAAAGGAAACAAAGCAGAAGTCATGTCACTTCATTTGAGTGGAATTCACTCATTTGCTTCTGTTAAAACAACATCATCATCACCATCATCATCATCATCATCATCCCAAACTCTTGGTGGATACATTTTGCCAGCCTCGGATTCCTGCCAGTTTCAGAAGCCCAAGTAGAGACGTGACAAGAAAGTTACATACTAATATCCACACGTTGAAACAATATCCCGAATAATCGCATCACATATTGACACAATTGTGTTAAAACTTCACGAATCCCATCAAAACACAATTGCCCTAACATGGAATTATACAGTTCAAGGAGCAATCTTAGCTCACCTTTTAAATAAGGTTAACAAGAGAAAGAGAGAGAGTGAGAGAGAGAGAAAATGGTGAAATAGTGATCAACGTGACACTCACCAGGCAGTCCCGGTGCTTTCTAAACTCCTGAAGAAAACCAAGCCAAACTTCCGCCGACCTCGTCTTCCTCTTTATGTGCTCGGTGTCAAGCTTGTAAACCCGACTTGGTTCAAATCGCAAGTTGTTCAGTCCGGTTCTTCTTCTGACGAGGATATTGACAGTCGGTGCTGAGCTCAACAGTGTCACACCGAAGCCGCGTACATACGTGAATGTTGGCGGAAAATACGGCTCCGTCCTCCTCTCATCCGCAGCCAACCTGGCTTCGCACCCAGTCCACGGCGGCCCAAAGCTCACCTCCCACTTAAAGGGCGAGAGTCTGACTCCAGGTTGAGGTTGCTGGGACAACCGGAGTGGGGGAGGAGCGAGGTTACAGTAAAACATGGAAGTGGGGTCGATATGAACCATCATTTGATTCTGTTCATTTTTTCACACAACATTGACCGATCTGTCGTTAACTATTGACGAGTTGGTACCTGTCATCGCTTCCTTTAAATCAATGCACTTCAATATTGCAGGATTCCACCAATTCCATTTGAGTTTAACCAGTGGCATCAGTAGATTTTATGGAGTATGTTTCCAATGGATATATTCTATTTGAAATACTGCATACAGGTACACAGTTTTCTAATTTCGTATATATTCTATAGGTTGGTTCTTGTGTTTTCCTTTCGGGTTTTCTTCTTCACTTAAATTTCTGCTGTTTCATTTTTCTTTTTCAGGGACGAAAGAAAACGTTTTTAACGTGTATTTAAATTCATTAGGTTGTTATTGAAATTCAAATAATCACTATTTTTTGTGTGAATAAAAATCAAGTGCTGTATTACGTTTTCCAACAGGCCGGTGAACCAGTGGTTAGCGCGTCGACCTCACAGTGCAGAGGTACCAGGTTCAATTCCAGCTCCGGCCTTCCTGTGTGGAGTTTGCATGTTCTCCCATGCATGAATGGTTGTTCGTCTATGTGTGCCCTGTGACTGGCTGTGGGCTTTCTACGGGTACTCAGGTTTCCTCCCACATTCCCCAAAACATGCATGGCAGGCTGATTGAACACTCCAAATTGTCCCTGGATGTGAGTGTGAGCGCGGATGGTTTTTTGTCTCTGTGTGCCCTGCGATTGGCTGGCAACCGGTTCAGGGTGTCCCCTGCCGACTGCCCGAAGACGGCTGGGATAGCTCCAGCACCCCCCACGATCCTTGTGAGGATAAAGCGGAACAGAAAATGGATGGATGGATGGTTGTTTTCCGGCGACCCGCTGGTCCAGTGGTTAGCGCGTCGACCTCACAGTGCAGAGGTACCGGGTTCAATTCCATCTCCGGCTTCCCTGTGTGGAGTTTGCATGTTCTCCCATGCATGAATGGTTGTTCGTCTACGTGTGCCCTGTGACTGGCTGGCAACCAGATCAGGATGTACCCCACCGACTGCCCGAAGACAGCTGGGATAGGCTCCGGCATGCCCGCGAGCCGTGTGAGGATAAGCGGATTACAAAATTGATGGATGGATGAATGCACCTCACTGGGAGCCAGGATTTCACTGCATGACAGCCATACTCACTCTTTTACGACGAAGCCACTGTGTTGTAACACAGGCAATGCAGCTTGGTATTATCTTGATGACATAAGCAGGAACATCCCTGACAAAGACATTGCTTGGATGGCAGCATATGTTGCTCCAAAATCTCTCTGTACCTTTCAGCATTAATTATGCCTTCATAAATATGCAAGTTACACATGCCACAGGCACCACCAACCCCCATACCATCATCAATGCTGGCTTTTAAACCTTGCGCATAATATAATCCGCGTGGTCCTTTTCCTCTTTGGCCCAGAGGACACAATTCAGGCTCAACTGACTCCAGCACACGTTTCCACTTTGTGTCAGTCCATCTCCGATGAGCTACTGCCCAGAGAAGCTGGCGGCATTTCTCTGTTTTTGATATATGGCTTTCGCTTTGCCTGATAAAGTGTTAACATGCATTTGCAGATGTCGCGACAAACTGACAATGGTTTTCTGAAGTGTTCCTGAACCCACTTGGCAATATTCTTGACACAACGATGCTGGTGTTGAATTCACTGTTGGTTTCTGTCTTACTGCTTATCTGCAGAGATTTCTCCAAGTTATCAAGCTTTTGATGATATTATGGACCAAAGATGATGAAATCTTAAACTGATGGACTATTTGCTCGCGCAGTTTAATCATAAAGTTGTGACACTCATCCTTGTTTGTGAACAACTGAGGATCTTCTGTTGGCTTGAACCTAAAAACATTTTCGATTTCTGTAAATATGTAGAAATGAATTGTAAAATGTTGGGATAATCCTGCTTCTTACTACCACTGCGATATCAGTGTCTTAACACACACTGACAGCACTCTGTTTATAATGAAGCTCAACATGATGCACTAAACTGTAATTTAGGGGAAAATGTGGTCATCATTCTTCTCTCTTGAATATACCTTTTTGAAATTACCATTCCGCTTACACACATGCATGCACACAAACAGTTTTATTATGTCGTTGCCAAAGACATGTTGCGCGTCAGTGCTATGTTTTGATAATCAGCGTCGCTAGAAATTGTTGTGATAAATTCACGTGGTTGAAAATGACCTTTTAGAGGTTAATTTAGCAATGCAGGTATTTCTCAAAAAGTATGTTTTTGACATTATGCAATTTTAACTTTTAACTTTTTTTTAATATCATCCATCCATCCATTTTCTGATCCAGTTATCCTCACAAGGGTCGTGGGGTGTGCTGGAGCCATTCCCAGCTGTCTTCGGGTAGTAGGCGGGGGACACCCTGAAGCGATTGCCAGCCAATCGCAGGGCACACACAGAAGAACAACCATCCACGCTCACAATAGACAAGGGACACTTTCGAGGGTTCCATTAAACTGCCACATATGTTTTTTGGAATGTGGGAGGAAACCCGAGTACGGAGAGAAAACCCGCGCAGGCATGGGGAGAACATGCAAACTCCGCACAGGAAAGCCTGAGCCGGATTCGAACCCTGCACCTCTGCGACCTTTTTTTATAATTTAACAATATTCATTGAATTTGATGGCAACCCTTAATTCTTGTCACCTGCAACTATCAAGAATATACCGTATATTTAGTCAAACAAAAAGAAGTGCCATGTCTTACCCCACCCCTACTTTTGAGTATTGTATTCGAATTGGACCTAAAACTGAGTTTCCACATGATTCATGATCACTGTGTGGAAAAGAATTCTCTGTGCTATTATCATGCATCAACACAATCACTCAGTTTACAGTTAACTATAGCTCACATTACTGACATGTATTGTGTGTAGGTGTGTGTCATCCATGGCCACTGTGACAGTATATGTTTTGTAATGTGTCAACAAATTAGGCAACTTTACTGTGTGTGTTGTGTCTCACTCATGACTATTGTGTAAAAAAAAATGCAGAGGTAAGCAACTTTGTGTGTGTACACATGTCTGCTTTATTTATACACAGTAACAAGATGTTGATCAATGCTTGATTGTTGGTTACTCAAATCATTCTCTTCCTTCTTGCTATCCAAGGTCTCATGGCTGCTAGGGTGTCCTACAGAGACTCAGTGATAGGATTGGACTCTGTATCAGAAATATCTCACATTGAGCACCTTGACTATAGTCCAGGTGGAGGCATTGGCTCTTCACCTGAAAATCAATTTCAACACGAACATACGGTCCTTGTTACAAATCCATCCATCCATCCATTTTCTGATCCGCTTTATCCTCACAAGGGTTGTGGGGGGTGCTGGAGCCTGTCCCAGCTGTCTTCGGGCAGTAGGCAGGGGACACCCTGAAACGGTTGCCAGCCAATCGCAGGGCACACAAAGATGAACAACCATCCGAGCTCACACTCACACCTCGGGACAATTTAGAGTGTTCAATCAGCCTGCCATGCATGATTTTGGAATATGGGAGGAAACAGGAGTACCCAGAGAAAACCCACGCAGGCCCTCGGAGAACATACAAACTCCACACAGGGAGGCCGGAGCCAGAATCGAACCCTGCACCTCTGCACTGTGAAGTCGACGCGATAACCACTTGACCACGGGCTGCCCCTTGTTACAAATATGACTGAAAGACAAAAGCATTTCTGACCGAAACACACTTGGCTGGCCAGAACATAATAGCTAATATGATTGTTGTGTTTTATGCCAAAATGGCATGACACAGTGATTCTGATGGGAGTAATTTTGAGCCACTTATGGAAAACTGTGGGATCGAGTCTCTCATGTGTCAAAGGTCCAGTTGCACGCCAGAAGGATTGACGTGTAACAGAACTTCAAATGCAAGAGATGCATTCGAGGTTTAGAACCATCTGGGGAAATGTAGATTCCGTGTATGCAAGTGTGCCGATCAAAATACATTGACTGAAAAGGTTTTTGATGTTGAAAGCAGGATCATCACTGCCAAACACTGCCATCTAGCTAGTGCGCTCAACTCTCAATCAGTGCCGACGGTGATCATGTGTTTGATCCCAGGGCAGGATCTATCTATCTTGTATTAGTCAGAATGTGGGCAAATAATACTGCTAAAATTGAGTTTGAATGGCATAATACAATCAAAAGCAATTGAGACTGTTTTTTTATGTCTGATTAGAGACTGAAATACTATCTCTGTTAGTGAAGGAAATATTCCTACTTATTTTTTTTCTGCGACATTACACCATGTGCTATTAAAACAGAAGCATTGAAAAAAGAGAAAAAAATACCTTACCTACAAAAAAAAAAAAAAATTCCCAGTTTGTCAAGCATTGTGTCCGTCAATGTCCGAGCATCCTTGTCATTTTGCTATTTGTGAAGTCCACAAGCATGAAAAGTGCTGACACTCTCCAGTGGGGGCAACCACTGAGGGTCGTACATGTATCGTAAGGAGGCATGTTGAATTGTCACGTTGCATACTAGGCAGAAGGAGAGAGCTGCTTCGTACGCAACGGAGCGAACAAGAATAGGTGGATCCCCGAAATAGCAGGCACTGAACAAGGTCTTGTCTATCAAATAATATTTATTACAAACGAAAAAACACCGTCAAAAGGAAAACACAAAACGCTGGTCAAAACGAGAACCAGGAATTAATGTAACGTGAGGAAAAGAAAGCGCTTGCAAAAAACGGCAAGGAAAAGATAAGACAATTTACTTCGAATAACTACGCGTTAAAGAGGATCCCACTGGGATGACGAAATGGTCGCGAATAGCAATAGAGTGCGAGATACGAAATACGAGCATGGGCAATAGCAGTGGCACGGCAAGCAATACTCCGGCAATGAGT